GTGCTTTTCTACTACTTGAATCAGTTTCCAGTTGCATTATCTTTTCTTTTGAATATAATACAAGATATCGGTGGCCGGAATTGAGAGAACTTAAAAAGTCTGAGACCCTAAATTAAATTATCAAACAAGAAGATACCGGAATTAAACAGGTCTCTAAGACTCTCTAACAGTAGTAGTAATCTATATTCTATGAATCCAAATACAGTCAGTCATACGAAAATGAAACCTACAATTACTTGTAAACTATAAAGTTTGAAATATATGACATTACCTTCACGACTTGAAAATGTAAAACCATTTACTATTCAATGTGTGAAGCAAAGTCAGTTTGTTGCTGTCCAAAGTCAATGTCTGCAATAAGCCACACATGGGCAAGCCTCTCTCTCTCTCTCTTCCCCCTTCATTTTCTTTGAAATAAATGATCTCCATTTGTCTGCTTGATCTTTAATCTCTACCTTAAAAGCAACCCTAAAGTGTCTCAAGACTATACTATTTATTTGATCATAATTTTTTTTTGTTTCTTACGAAGAAAACATTACCAGCAGTTTGCTGTTAAGAGATATCCCGTTTTTCTAGCACCTTTTTCCCTTTTTGTTGTTTCGTTCTTTTCCTCTCTCTTGAGGCTTCGAGATTCACCTTTTAGGCTTGGATGTCCAGATTAAGGTAAACGCAATCTAAAAGCAAACGAATATATAAAAAAATATGTTTTCCATCTCACTATTCTTAATTGACTTTGTCATGTACTGTTTTCTAGGGAAGGGTTTGATGAGATTGGAAAGAATTTGATGACAAGAGAGATAGATGCAGTGATGGGAAGGAGACATATGTTGGGTCCTCCAGGAAATTTAAACACAGTCACTCCTTGTGCAGCATGTAAACTTTTGAGAAGAAGATGTGCAGAAGAATGCCCTTTTTCTCCTTATTTCTCACCACATGAACCTCAGAAATTTGCAGCTGTTCATAAAGTTTTTGGAGCAAGCAATGTCTCCAAGATGCTCATGGTAATTACCCCCTATCATTTGCGTGTTTTATTTGAGTAGATATAGCAATGAATTCGAATAGAGCAACAAAAAATGATTCACAAAGTCGATCTAAAAATTCTAAGTTTTGTAACAAATATTTTCTTTTTTATGGGTGTTTAGGAGGTGGCTGAGCCCCAAAGAGCTGATGCAGCCAACAGTTTGGTTTTCGAAGCGAACGTGCGGCTGAGAGATCCGGTCTATGGATGCATGGGTGCAATTTCAGCTTTGCAACAACAGGTTCAAACTCTACAAGCTGAACTTAATGCAGTAAGGGCTGAGATACTGAGATATAAGTATAGAGAAGCTGCAAACACATTCATTGCTTCGAATAATGTGGCGGCGTTATTTCCCTCCGGAACCGTGTCCGTGGCTGAGCTACCACAAGCTCCTCCTACTCCGACCACTTCTAGAACTGCTGCTGCTGCTCCACCACCAACAACTCCTCCTCCTCCACCTCCAACAGCTTCTGTTGTCTCTTCCTCATCTTCAGCTCCATCTTTGTACACTTCTCCTCCTAGCACAGCGAGCTTTAACAACATTTCAAATAATAACATACCATATTTTCACTGATTTTGTTCAGCCATATATAGCTCACCCCTTTCTTCATTTTCCAGTAAGAAACTTGTAGTCCAATAAATCAGAAAAAGGCTTTATTCACTACTATAATCAGAAATTTGCAGAAAATTTTCAGTATATTATTAGCGTTTTTCTGCTTTTAATCGATGTTAAACTTTTTTCTCTTCCAATCTTCAGTTTCATCGTGTTCCAAAAATTAAAACTGAAAATATAGAAATATTCCAAAAAAAAAAAAAAAAAAAAAAAAAAAAGT